ACGTTGTCCCTAGGAAAGAGCATAGCTTGAGCCTCCGGGGGCGCGCCTCTACCTTCCCCACCGCGGGCCGTTTTAAAGGGATGGGCTCCCCTACAAAGGCTGACACCCCCTCCTGTCCGCGTGTTATCTCCCGTCTTTTCAGAAAATTTTGCCACAATTTGTCAGCAGTAGTGGGATCAGCCAGTCCTCCCCATTCGCTCTCAAAGGAGACAGTTTCTTCATTCCCAGCTGCAGGGTCAGCGCCGTAAGACCCGTGAAGGTCCGTCAGGGCTAGGGAGACTGCCCTGAGCTCGGAGCTCCCCTCCCAGAAACTCTCCCCATCCCCTTTTGTTTTTAAAGAATCTCGGCTCCTCCTCTTTTTTCGGCTCTTAAAGGGCCAGTCCACTTTAGACTCGCATAGATCCAGCGCTGGAAGGATGCTTAGAGACCAGCTAGCTATCCAGTGCCTTTGCAGACAAAGAGCATAGGCCCAGAGAGCGACATGACCTATCAGAGGTCACAGAGCAAGGTACCGGTGAAGTCGATTGGAACCCAGGTCTCTAACTCTGAAGCCTGTTTTTTCTTTGGAGCTATTGAAACAAAAAAACAGTGGTGACCGGAGCCCTCTCTGATCCTGTCTTTTGTTTCCTGAGTCTTGAGATTCTCCACTTGGATAGTGATCACACCTATCTATTCAGCTTAAATAAAATTGGTTCCAAACTGTAGGTAGGGTGGGGGACTGCTCTGGATCTCTGGCAAAAAGGAACATCTTTGGGTTAGTGGGCTCTGTCCTGGCTGCTCTGGTGCCCACCCCCTGATTGCTGGGCAGTCGCCAGCTCCCTAGCAGAGCATAAAACAAATCCCCTGAAAGACTTAATGGGCTCCCATGGGTGGGGGCCACTCCGTGCCACAGAATTTTCAGTAGCCACTCTGGTGGCCCTTCTGCTGTCCCCTTTCAGAGTCTCTAGGGAGGCCAGGGTCCTAAAAAATGCCTTTCCCTGGTGGTGTTGACAGCTTTGTCCTGGGGATCCCTGCTATGGCTGCCTACATTTGGGGAACTGACAATGCTTAGTGCCCCTCAAATGGGACTCTCAGGAGGCTGTACTGGAAAAAGGAAGAAGCTCTTTGGGTGGGGCCCTCCTGGCCCAGGCCTCAGGCGGGTGGGTCCTGTGTGCAGCCCTGGATGCAGACAGATGCCCCCTTTGTTCTCGCCCCGCTGCCCGCTCTGCTCCAGCTGTAACCGCCCCAGCTTGCCGCTCTCCTGGCTTTACCCCGACAGCTCTTGTCCAAAAAGGGTGCCTTACAGAGCCGGCTCCCTCCTTGGTCTTCACCTTATTTTTTAAAAAGTCGGAGCTAGTCCCGCACAGTGCCCTGCATCCTTTTGTTCTTGGTCCTCTCTTAAAGGGTCCTCGCTCTCTGTAAAGGGCCACTGCTTCGACTCCCTGCTCTCCCACATCCCTTTTATTGCTGTTGCCATCCCTTTCCTGCCCCGGAATGACCCCTCCCTCCTCCCTTTCTCGGGCTGCAAAAATCAAAGCCCTGGGTTCTTTCCTTGGAAATCGGAGATTGAAAAACTGTCTCCCTTTCCCCCTCTTCAGGGCAAGATCTTCATCTGGAAGGGGGTGCCTTGGGGTCCTGGGGGAGTGCCCCCCTGCCCTCCTCCAGGGCCAGGGGACCAGCATCTTCAGGCAGGAAATACTCAGACCACTGTGAGGCCCGGGCCTCCAGGCCTGGAAAGAGCCGAATCCCGGGCCGAGACCACCGGCGATACTACCATGACCACTGGCGGCTGGAGTACCTGATGGACTTCAACCCTGCCCGGCACGGCATGGTGTGCATGGTGTGCGGCAGCTCCCTGGCCACGCTCAAGCTCAGCACCATCAAGCGGCACATCCGCCAGAAGCACCCCTACTCCCTGCATTGGAGTCCACGGGAGAAGGAAGTCATCAGCAACAGCTGGGACGCCCACTTGGGGCTGGGGGCCTGTGGAGAGGCTGAGGGCCTGGGGGCCCAGGGGGCTGAGGAGGAGGAGGAGGAAGAAGAGGAAGAGGAGGAGGAGGGGGCTAACCTCCAAGCTTGCCCACCCAAGGGCCCAGGTAATGTAGGCCATGGAGAGGCAGGAGCCTGGGTGGCAGGGGGGCCAAATGGGGACAACCCTGGCTTCTCAGTCAACTAGCTGACTTCCCCTGGGTGGGGTCTGCTTACTGCCCTTATTGTACAGCAGTGGGAGAGGGACAGCGGGAAGAGGGAGTCTCCAGCATCCCAGACAGCTGTGACGTTCTGTGGCTTTACAAGGATCAAGGAGAGTCGAGACTGGAGGGGCAGGCAGGAGGCAGGGTGCTGGACAGTGAGGTCCAGAGGTGCTGGAGTCTGGGTCTGGGGGAGGAGTGGGTGGGCCTTAGGGTTTGTGTGTAGGAGCGTCAGGAGATGGAGAACTGAAGACTTGAGGGGAGAGGAACAGGACGGCAGCTAGGCCAGGGGCTGAGGCAGTGAGGGAGAGGCTTGCGGAGGACCTGGCTGTGGTGGTGGTGGGGGCTCCCCCCCAGAGGGCCAGCATCTCAGTTCCTTCCCTCCCTCCAACCCTTTCAGGCAAAGCCCCAGCTGGCGGGGCCGGCAGGCGCCAGCGACGTGGGGGCCCAGTGGCACCCCGGGCTCGGCGTCAGCGCCTCTCAGCCTCCCGGAGGGCCAGGGGCAGCAGGGGGCTTGGGGCTCGGCGCCTGGAACGGAGGCTGAAGGACTCCCTGCAGAACTGGTTCCGGGCAGAGTGTCTCATGGACTATGACCCTCGGGGGAACCGGCTGGTGTGCATGGCCTGTGGCAGGGCACTGCCCAGCCTGCACCTGGACGACATCCGTGCCCACGTGCTGGAGGTGCACCCCAGCTCCCTGGGGCTCAGCGGCCCCCAGCGCAGTGCCCTGCTGCAGGCCTGGGGTGGCCAGCCTGAAACACTGTCTGAGCTCACTCAGTCCCCACCAGGTGCGAGGTCCCAGGCGAGACCCTCCCTCACATAAGGGCTGCAAAGTGGGCTCTGGCTAAAACCGGGAGGGAGTCACTCGCCCTCCCTTCCCACACACACATTGGCTCCGCCCTCTAGCTTGGGGCTGGGGTGAGGAACGAGGGACCCTCTGCGTGGGTAAGGGCAACCCAGCCAGCCGGCTGAGCCCCTCTCCCTCACCCCTTCCCCAACAGACGATGACCTCGTCCCCCAGGACCTGACCAGAAAAAGCCAGGACTCGGCCCCCGCTGCTGGAGCCCCCTCCTCTCAGGATCTCAGCCCCCCCGACGTAAAGGAAGAGGCTGGCTGTGTCCCTGAGAGGCCCGGGCCGGCAGACAAGGAGGAGGAGCTGGAGGAGGGCGAGAGGGTGGGGGGCCCAGGCCGGTGGCCGCGCGGCCGCGACCACCGCCGCCACTACCAGGAGCGCTGGCGACTGGAGTACCTCATGGAGCTGGACGGCGGCCGGCGCGGGCTGGTGTGCATGGTGTGCGGGGGCTCGCTGGCCTCGCTCAAGATGAGCACCATCAAGCGGCACATCCGCCAGCGCCACCCGGGCTCCACGCGCCTCAGCGGGCCCATCAAGGCCCTCATCGCCCAGGAGTGGAGCGAGAAGGCCGCCCACCTGCTGGCCCTGGGGCTGCCCTGCCCCGAGTCCCCCAAGGACCCAGCCGCCCCCAGCACAGCCTCAGCCTCCGAGGAGGGGGGAGGGGACGAGGAGGAGCCAGAGGAGGAGGAGTGGTGGGGTGAGCTGGTGGAGCGCCAGGGCAGGTGGCGAGGGAGAGGGGCCAGGGCCCCGCGGCAGAGAGGACGGGTCGGGAGCGCCTGGGTAGGAGGGGGCAGTGAGCGGAAGGCTGGAGAGGACACGGGAGGATGGGACAGGAGGGCAAAGGGGGTGGGGGTCCCGACGCTGAGACGCGGGGCGGCGGCTGCTTTCGCCCACCCGCCCCAACGCGCTCCTTTGTCCCTTCCTAGGCGATGCCCCGCTTTCTCCCGGGGAGCCGTCAGAGCGGCCTGCCGAGGAAGAGGAAGACGACGAGGATGGCCAAGAGCCCGGGGGCCTCGCCTTCCCGCC